TTACGTAGTTTTCAAAATGCTTTATTTTTTTAAATCTGTGCTGGTATCAGTGGTGGTTATGCCGTTGTTCAGTATGGGAAAATTGGTGAACGTCAGTTGCAGAGGGGTTGGGGAGGATATGGTCAGGTTTTGAAGTGGATCAAGGATAATTGGTAAGAAAGGTAAACGACTCCTGGGATGATTGGGCATTTTGTATGTGTTTTGGAAAATGGATTAGAAAATTGCTAGGCCAAGTTGTTCTGTGATGATAGTAGATCATGTTTCATTTACATTTATCACTTTGTTAAAATGCATTCTGCTCAGTTTCTGAGTGCAAAAGAAAATATTTGAAGTGACATAAAAAGAATCAAAATGACTAGAAAAGCATAGTAATATTTAAGCTTTGGATCCTGTTCCCCATCAGACAAAAAAAATCTGCTTTTAGAGGGCACTGGGAAATGAGAAATGTCAACTGAGAAATGTCATGATTTAAACAGGTAAAACATTTACTGTGAAAGAGTAAATGTAAAACTTTTTTCATTTAAAGTAGCTCATTCCTCTGGTAAAATTCTGAATAAAAAATAGTGTATCCCCCAAATTTGTATCCTTTTAAAAGAGCTGAAATGGTTTAAATGATTATGCTAAACATAAAAACATCTCCTTAAAGTGATGTTAGGTAAGCAAGCAGTTTCACTGTTTGAACAGCCAAGAACACTTTCTTGTAGTTTGATGGATACGTCTTGATTCTTCTTGACTAGTGATGTCAGTGTAACAGACTGTCATTTTTCTCTACCAAACAAGTGCCCATGTGTATTCTTTCAGATTCATTTAAACCTCACAGCTGTTGACATAGTTCTTGTGTGCTATTTGAACCATGCATTATAGGAGACTTGCTATAAAACTGCTTTCAAGAGGATTATTTCATTTGGAGCAGCAGCAGCAGCAGTCTTGCTCTAAATGGGCCTCTGGCACGTTAGTGGGTACTAACTGGGAATCTGAGTCGGATATATAGTCATTTATGAGTGATTAAAGAATGGCCTCTCAGTCGCACATTTAAAGACTCCAGTCAGTTACCTGTGCAGGCATACTTATGCACTTTCTTTAAAAATAATTCCATGTGCCTTTTTTTTTTTTTTTTTGGTAAATCTTAATGGATTTATCTTTAAAGTATGTGAAATGAGTTCTGTCTGTGCATGCAGGTGAGATGAAGCCAGAGGAAGGGGCACTGATATACTCTGTGTCTAGTGTCATGACTCCATAACTGCGGGGGCTGTAAATCCAACTGCAACATACTAATACGTGGTTTGCTCAAAAAGTTCTAAGACTTGATGTTCAGGGTATTGTTTATCAGGAATTTGTACCAAGTGGTCAAACAATCAATCAGGCCTTTTATAAAGAAGTTTTGATTTAATTGAGGGATAAAGTTAGAAGAGACTGCCGCGAGCTGTGTGAAAATGGTCGATGGTTTCTACACCATGACAGCGCTCCTTCTAACGCTGTTGTCTCCATTCAAGAATTTTTGGCTGAAAAAAACTTTCCTGTGATACCACGCCCTCTGTATTCACCTGACCTAGCCCCATGTGACTTTTTCTGTTCCCAAAAATCAAAATGAAGCTGAAAGGAAGGAGATTTGATGACATCCCAACCATCCATAAGAATGTGAAAGCAGAACTCAAAAAACTCACAGTTGAAGACTTCCAACATTGCTTCGGAAAGTGGCAGAAACGTTGGGACAAGTGCATATCATCTGGGGGAGATTACTTTGAAGGGGGCAACTCATAAACATGTTGTTTGTACACTGTTCTTTAAAATAAAGGCCAAGTCTTAGAACTTTTTGATCACCCCTTGTATGTGCCTTTAAATAATTTACAGAGAAGTAGCCAACAGGCGCTAAGTTGTTTACTATCCGTCTTTATTCTCTACAGTACTTACTTGATCCTTTAAGGTAAAATTCAGCATTGAACTCTTCCTGAGCTGCTCGTCAAAGAACGTTGGCCTCTCAATCTTTGTTCCTGACTTGGGTCCCAGTTCTAGCATTGCTCTGTGCTTGGAATACTAATTACCACTCCTACCATTGGGGTGTGAGCTCTAGGCAGAGACGCAACGTGGCTAGCTTCTGCTGGGATGGTCTTTAGGCATCCCATTTATACCGTTGCAGGTGAACAAAAGAGTGGCTATTGGATTTCTTCCAATAAAGGCAAGAAAGTGGAGGACGGCTTTCCTTACATTAGTGAATATACTATTGTCTGGAAAAATATCCTGGGTCCGGTTTCTATTTACACTACCGTCCTGTTCATATTTACCTGCTGCTTCCAGTAGAACCTCCTTCCTTTCCAGAAAGACACCAACAACTGAAGGGACGATAGCAGCTGGTAGAGAACGTAGCAGTGTCTGTAACTGTGTACTTCTGGACAGTGGCAAAACCTGTAGTCTGCTTGGCAGAGGTGGTATAACTGCCTGCAAAAAAGAGGGTTCTGCTACAGAAGAGTTATGAGTTCTGCTGGCAAAACTTTGTAGTGTTGAGTAGGCTTAGGTCTTTTTTACATGAGTGCTCTGTTTAAGAGGGTCGTAATGCAAATAAGCATTGGGCCCTTGTGTCTACATGTAGAATTTGCTAACCCTCTCCAAAATGTGAGATCATCACCATCTCATCTTCTTCAGTATCATTTGGTCTCTCCACCCCAACATGTTGTTCTGATTAGCACCCATCCATTAACATTTTTCTGGTTGCTGGTTTCCTTTTCCTTTTCCTTTTTTTTTCTTGCCTCCCTTCCTGAATGTAGTTTGTTGTTCCTATCTACTCCTACTTTAACACTTTGTTTCTGAGGGATTGGTTCATCCCACCATGCTGCAGCCTGGACTCACTTTTCAATGTCTGGTGCTTCTCTTCCTGTTCCTGTGTTGCTGAATGCCTGTGGAGGAAATTGAGAAAGCAAGTGGCCTTTCTCCACTACAAGTTTGTCCTCTTTTATTCAACATGACCATCAAAGGTAATTAAATAAAGCCTGTTCTATTAGGCTTTGTGCAGGAGGAAGTGAATTTCATCTTCCACTGTTTTAGCTGTGTAGCTACTCTAAACAATGGGATTTCTTTCTAGTCTGGTGGAGGATGAAATATTCAGATGGGTAATCAAGGTAATGTTGAGTAAAAATGTATGCAAAACAAATGAGCTGCATATCAGAATCTTCCCTTACATCCTTTACAGAAAACAACAGGAGGCAGAGATGCCATTGTCTGTGGGAGATGGTTTAAATATAAAAGGGAGTTGAGGGTTTTTCGGGAAAGACCTGAGGTGTACAACTGTTGATCTGATAAGAGTATAAATTTACTCTGAGATCAAGAGGCTAACAGATCTTTAAACCTGCTGACATGAATTGGCTAACTAATTATAATCCTATGTTAAACTTGCCACTCTTGACTGTTTGTTCTAACAAAGGACATTTTATCTTCCTTAGGTCAAATTTGGGACCTGTAATACTCCAAAGCCCAGCTTCTTTGATTTTGAGGGGAAGCAGAAATGGTAAGAGGAAATCCTTGCAATTCCTAAAAATGTTTGGTATTTTTTGTCATTTCTTTTAGACAGTTTGCAATCCGGGGGACCTAAAATGTTGCTCTACATTTACTTTCTCTTGTTCTTTTTCTTAACAATTGATAGAGCTGACCACAGGATGACAGCTCTCAAAAGTTGCTGCAAAACAGGTTTTGAAATTTGTTGTCATTTCATTGCTGGAATGTCTAAAGAGGTAGAGGTTGTGTTGTCATCAATAGCATGCTGATCTTGGAATATGGACAGCTGAGGTTTAAATCACTGTAACTCAATTTTGAGCACAGCTTTACATCCCAGGTCATTCTGTATTGGTCAGAGCAGTGACTTGAATGTAGGTCTCTCACTTCTCAGGCTAGTATCTTGTCTACCAAGCTATAGCATTTCTCTTGTCTGCTGGAACCCAAAACTTTTCAAAGGGCATTTTTTGTGGAAAGAAGGACATCTCTGTGGAACATTTTGGCTTTAATAAAACTGTACATGTCCTAGCCAGCTGTAATTACTAAGAATTTCCATGGTGATGCTGTGTGGCTAGTATTGATTTTAGGCCTGACTAAAGGATTGAGGATTTTAAATTGGGTAAAAGATCTTTTTGCTGTTCCTGATCAGAATGTTTCACTTTGGTAACAGGGAATAAGAATGGTTGTATTATTTCTATTGAATTAGTCATTTATCTTTTGCTTTGTACCCCAGGGAAGCATGGAAAGCACTGGGAGATTCAAGTCCTCACCAGGCTATGCAGGAGTACGTTGCCACAGTGAAAAAACTGGATCCCAGCTGGAATCCTCAGGTAGGATAAATTAAAATAACATGCAAAAGTCAATTAAAGAGGGTTTTTTTTTTATTGCATGGGTAAGTATTTGATGGGTCTTTGTCTAAGAGAGTTCAGGATATTAATGAAATTATAATTCAGTGAATAGGAAGCTTAACTGTAGGCATATTAGTTTTAAATAGCCCACAAAGCATGTTTTACCCACCTTTTTATTTTGGGAGGTAGTCTCTCTATGTATAACTAGTGTCTAAGCAATGACTCCTTTTAGGAATGTGTTTATGTAACTTCTTTCCTTTTAACTGGGCTCCATTATAACAGCAAGATATGGTACTTACCAAGTGTTTGTAGAATTACAAGGGCACTGTGGAACATCTGTCTCGTGTATGATTTAAAAAATACTTATTTCTGTGAAATAAATGCATATTGACTATCTAACAGTAAGCATATTTGCAGTTCTATGGCTACTTCAGCTTAGAAAAGAGAGACTTCATTTGAGCACGAGAATTTGATATCCATTTCCAGTTTTGATATCTCATGTGGCCTTTCGTTAGTCATGAAGCTTCTCTAGCTTAGTTTCCCCATCTATAAAACAGGGATACTTCTGCCATAGTAGACTCTTGCAGCATAAGTTTGTATTTGCAAAATGTTGAGAGGATGAAAAGTGTGTGTGTATATATGTATATATAGTACCAATGAAGAAATGACTATGTATTGTTCAATCCAGTTAACATACAAAATTCTGTGACTTGCTAGAAAAAAATCCAGAAAAAGGATGAATAAATGAAAATGCCTTGATGCCTGAAGTTCATCAGGTACTCATCAAATGGAATATACATTTTCTTCACCCTTATGGATGCATCATTTCATGCAGTTCCTATCTGTAATTTGAAATGGGATCTGACCACATCTGCCATCTGGAGGTGACCAGTTCAAATACGGGTACTTGTTCTCTGAATTAAGAAATTAGGACATAAATTCAAGAATCTGTTTTGCTTTTCAAAACTTATTTAAAAAATGGAACCACACAGCAAATTAGGCAGCACACTCTAGTACACTTCTCATCAGACATTGAGTGTTTATGTCCTTCACCTGTCCCATTGACTTCATCAGAAGGTAGATAAGTAGGCCAACAGATGGTCTCGTGCTAATTCAGTTGTAAGAGGATTGCAGAGTCTACAAGCTAAAGAAATAAAGGCACTGTCAAAAGTGATAGGCCTGAAAATAGATTTACCTGGACTGTGCCAAATCAGCGTTCTTACCTTGAGGAGTTGATTATTATGTTTTCTTCTGTTTTAGTTCAAAAAATGTTTTTTAAAAAGCTTATGAACTTAGTGTGGAATGGGTCTCCCTGGGCGTTGAGTTCTTTTGTTCTCAATACATATAGAAGCCAGGCATCTTCCCTCATTCGACTTTTTGACCATAATAGGATGTTCAGTTTCCGAGTTCATTCAAGCAGTGCTTCTAGAGCTATTAAATACTGGGGGCAATTTCCGCAATGTAGACACCTTTCTATAGGGAAGTGAACTGAGATCAAAGCCCAGTCAGGTTTTAGTCTTTAATTTATAACATTTTCATGTGTAAATTCTGTGCAACTTTGAGAGCTCTAGCATAGTATTCAGAGCAATACCAGCAACAGCAATATCAGACGCACTAGCTTGCTTGTTGTGCATTTCATACTCAATGACTCTTATATTTCCCCTTTATTTTTCTATTATATTTTTAGTCCAAAAAATATTTGTTTCTGGGATTCTAGATAGACTCTAAGGCCAGGCCCACATGAGCAGGGGTGTGCCTTTGCAGTGTCACAAATAATACCAGTACAAATTTATGCCACTACTTTGTGCCGCAGTGCGCACCCCTGCCCGTGTGCTTTGCAGAGGGACACACTGTCCTGCTGCTCAGTGTGCTGTAGCAGGGGGCTGGCTGGGGCGCATTGTACCTTGAGACAGGGGAGCAGTAGAGCCCCCATGCTGAGGTGCATAGAGACAGGGCAGCAGCCAGCCCAGAGCTGCCTTCTGCTCTGTGTCGAGGCACACTGCACCCCAGCTAGCCAGGGAGCAGCTGGCTGGGGTGTAGGGGTGCCTCAGCAGGGGGGCTCCGCAGCATGCGGAAATCCCAGTAGCAAATTTTGCCCTGGTGCTGCAAAATTAGCAGTGCTTTGCACTGATTTAATGTGCAACTCATACAGTTTATGGAACTGCAAGGAGGTTTGCAGCACCACAAACCATGTGTGCCTGCACACATGGATCAAGCCAAAAAGGGAGTCAGTGTTCAGTCAGCAGGGCCTTAAATGTCCTTATGTGTGTCAGCTCCATTCAGAAGGGAATGCTTGTCACCAGCAGGTTTTATTGTTCTTGTGTATGAAACCACAGGAAGTGTCTGTTTGAGGAAGTAAGAATTTTCCCCTACAGAATATTTAACATCACATTTCAGGAGGTCTTTTATGGATTTTCATTTGCGTAGATATACATTATTTTTCTCAAAGGTTTAAAAATAATGGCAAGCAACTTTTCTGCATGTTTCCAGTGTTCCAACTGTAATAGTGAAAAGGATATAAGGATAATAATAAAAGGTGTCTTGTTTGATGTACAGTCTCCAGAGCTTAGACTTTAAATTTCAGACCTTAACTAGAATCCTTGTTCTACAAGTGAGCTAGAAATGTACTGAAAGAGGTTGGAATGCTCTACATCGGAAGAAAGTAGTCAAAAATGGAATGAGGAAAAAGAGAAAGTAATCTAGTTCTGGAGCCCTTTGGGCAAGAGCAGAGCCAGTGTAAAAACAGTAGTAAAGAAAACTGCTTGCAGTATTTGTCTTTTTAAACCTCTATGACTGTGATTTTGTACTATCTCTACTTTTATTTCATTGTGTGAGTTCCACTATCTTGCAGCCACAAGAGGGAGCTGTATTCGTTATAATAACTAAGGTATGCTTGTCATAGAATGATAGTAAAAGATAAGTCATTGGTGTCTTCACATTTTAAATTGAATTTAAAGAAAAGATTTGTGGGGACACTCCTGGGTGCTCTGTTACTATCTCTTTCTTTACCTGATCTACTACTGGATCATGATGTCTTAGGATTTTCTTATGTGTGTCGTTCCCCCCTTCCCCCCACGCAGTCAGTAGATCATGAAAAAAACAGTAGTCATGTGCATGGTGGGATTTTTTGAGAATAAAAAATGGGGCTCTTGTTAGTAACTTGACAGATTTAGCATTTTGGAATGGATTAAAATTGCCAGTTCTTTAAAAACATAATTAGAATGTGCTACTGGGTTTTAAATTTCCTTTGCAAGACTACTTCTTAACTTCATGTTGTTAATAAGATCTCTTGGTATTACCATATTTTCTCACATACAGCATGCCCCTGTATATAATGCACATCTTGCTTTTTTAAAAGCAGCATGAAGAAAAATAGATTGTTCCTTGTAGTAACTGAGTTGCAGTAGCTAAGGAGCTGAGCCTACTTCTGTACTTGCTGCTGGCTCCTTATACCAGGTCTGAGGCAGTGTCCGAGGCCCAGTTGTAGGCCAGGAGGCTTCTCACATGTCTAAAAGTTTGGCAGTGTGGGAGCAGTAAGAACATTACTTGCTGTGGTTCCCAGAGCCATGGCAATTAATGCTGAAATTGCTCCCCTGCTGCCAAATTTCTTAGGTCAGAGGTAGCCCCATGGGCTGGATGGCTTGGCTCTGCACACCAGATGTGGCCTGCAGGACCTTTGAGCACCACTGACATACCCTGCTCTTACTATATTTCCTTGAATATAATGCACACACTAATTTCTGTGAGCTGGGTTTTGGAGAAAAGGTGTGTGTGTGTTTTATATGTGAGACAACATGGTCATATATTTTCCCCTTAATGATTTAATCCTGTTACTCCTCATTAATCTTATTTGTATTATTTGAAATAATTTCTTTATTGTTTGAGTGCTTACTCTTTTCACACCCTCCCCCCACCCACACACCTGTGCCTGTCTCTGTCTCTTCCTCTTATTGCATGGACACGCATGCATGCGCGCACCCCCTCCCCCCCCCTCCAACCTCCTGCTTCCAGCCCTGTACTTCCATGGTCTGGCAATGCAGTTGGGGGGTCATGTGGTGCTGGAGCCGTGGGCGGGCAGGCAGGGATGCAGTGAAAACTGCAGCAGGCAGAGGCTTCCGGTTAGGAGGCTGGGGGTGGGGCTGGGCCGTCCTTGCTCCTGGGTCCTGCTGGCTTCACCTGCGTCCTACCACCCTGGGTTACTGTCATCTTTGACAGGCAGCCAGGAGCAGATAAATATTACTTTTATTTTTTTAGGGGCTCCGCAGGCTGGATAGAATGGCCTGGCCAGGGGCGTATTTTCCCTGCCCCTGTCTTAGTGCTTATTTACTGCTTAGCTAATGATCAGTAGTTTGACTTCTACCTTTTCCTTGGTTTCAGGATTTTTTTTATGCTTTCTCTCTGAGCAGAATACCTGCAACTAATGTCAAGGCTAAATCCCTCCATACCTGCCTCCCTTCTATATAATGCCACATTCCTCCACTTTCCTTCATCTCCTGCCTCTATTGCATCCATCATTTCACCTTGCCCTCTCTGTTTAGTGTCTTTAGGCTAAGGTTCTAGTAAATTTGAAAATAATTGCTTCATCCAACTTGACTCTGCTTGCATGCTTCAGTGATATCTTCCATCATTTAAGTCTATCTATATTCTTCTCCTATTCAGGTAGTAACTTACCACAAAGGAATAACTTAAAATGTGCTTATTCTTTTAAATATAAATATTTCATGTACCTTATCATAATATTTCCCTGGACACCGTAGTATTGCATATTCAGTTGTTGCTTCCTATCTCAGAAAAACTGTTTCACTTCTCTTCTTCCTGCTCCATTGGTAGCATCTGAAATTTTGCCTTCTGTTGGTGTTACTGGTATGCGTCTAAGGTTGCCCATTTGTATCACAGACAGCCATATATTTAATCAGTCCCTAGATGCATTCTTCTCTCCTTCTCCACTTCCATGTTCTATTTCTGTACTATTTATTGTCACA